AAGTGCTTGGCCAGGAAAGGGTTGATTTGGCTCCCATGTCCCACCTGCACTCCATCACTGATGGAAGTCAGAGCAGGCAGGCTTTCAAGCAGGAGCAGAGTCAGGAACCTCAGAGGAAAGTTGCCTGCTGGTTCAGCTTGCTTTCTTACACAACCCAGGACCTCATGACTGTGGATGGACTACCCACAGTGGGCTATTCCCAGTTCCATCCATTAGCAACCAGAAAGAACCCACGCAAACATGCCCACAGTCAATCTAATGGACACAATTCCCAATTGAGGACTCTTCTTCCGGTGTTTCCAGTTTATGTCAATTTGACAGAAAGTACCCAGCACAGCTGGTTAGATAGGCTCTGTGGTAAAAAAACTAGACATGTGGTTATGTGGTTATATTTAATATAATAAAACAAAACAAACCATGCAAACCATTTTGTGTTAGTGACTCCACTGAGAGGTGTACAAATAGTGTTCCAATTCTGATATGCCCTAAGGAGTGAGGAATAATAAACTCATTGGGTTTCACCAGACTACAACCAATAGAACAGAACAGACTGAGAAAAAAATTCTACCAAAGAACTTTGAGACCAGAATTACTCATGTTAAATCTTATTCTCTTGGGATGGATTGCAGTGCTGATGCTAAGAGTAGCCCAACCTGATATTTTGGTTCCAGATAGTAGTAAGGGAGCTAAAGTCATCGAAGAAATAACACCATTGAAAGAAACTAATAAATATTTTTTTTTGTATGGGGCAGTGGAAATTATATCGAAGTTGTTTTCTTTGTCCATTATCAACCTAACTAGTACAGCTTCTGCTGATGCCCAGCGATGGTGCTTTAAAGAGACAGACCAGCCTGGCAGTGGTGGAGGAAACTTTAATCCCAGCACTGGGAGATAGGCAGCTGGGTCTCTGAGGTAAAGCACAGCCTGGTCTACAGAGAAATTTCCACAACAGCCAGCGATACACAGAGAAACCCTGTCTCAAAAGTAAGTAAAGAAATGAACAAATCAAATAAATTAAAAATGTAAATCAAAAGAAAATAAGAGGAACTTGTAAAATTAAGAGAAGACAGTACAATTACCACACGATACTCATGATTAATGATGTGTCCTTGCAGACGTCATCAAGAAAATTTATGAATAAAGAAGAAGGTCTCAGTGGGAATTGTGCGGGATGAGAGGGGATGAATTTGAGCAAAAATGACTAAAAACATTGTACACATATATAAAATTGTCAAAGAAGACAAGCTAAGTTCTAAAAGGAAATTTAATGCTAAATCATTATAAACTGGGTAATCTCTCCAGTGCTGAGTTTCATAAGGGACAAGGGATTAAATCATCTCCTATGCCAGGAATTGATGAAAAGTGTTCATGGTAACTCTGATGAAATCATTTTCATTTTAGAAGTAAGGTGGCCTATATGATTTTCTTTGGGTTCTCCTTCTTATTTAGCTTCTCTAAGAACCCGAATTATAGGCTCAATGTCCTTTTTTTTTATGGCTAGAAACCAAATATGAGTGAGTACATCCCATGTTCCTCTTTTTGGGTCTGGCTTACCTCGCTCAGGATGGTGTTTTCTATTTCCATCCATTTGCCTGCAAACTTCAAGAAGTCCTTGTTTTTTTTTACTGTGAGTAGTACTCTAATATGTATATATTCCATANGTGAGTAAGTACCCACACAGCACACAGCCTGAGTGCCACTCTCTGGGACAGTCCCCAGGGGACTGAATCCAGGCCACCTCCAATTCCCTAAGCTTTTCTGGACATCCAGTGGGGTGTGTTCCCTGCTGCTGGCTTTCTTTACCCTATTCCACCCTGCCCCCAAGCCTGCCTTTTCATCTGCAAGGTTCTTGAATCCCCCAACACAGCCTGCTCCAGTTCTGAGGGAACCTAAGAGAGGGCAGACCAAGAAAAACTTCCAAGCACACAGTCAGCCCACAACATCAAGATCCAAGGAGAGACCCAGAAGATCATCCCAGTGGCAAAAGCTATCCCACATCCTGCCCACAACTGTAAGGATGGCTCCAGTGACATCATGCTCTTAAAGGTGAGAACTGTCCCCACAACTGCCTGTGCTTTGTTTGTTGCAGGGATCGCCCCTCCCCTCCTGCTCTCATCCTGTTTCTTCCCTCCCTGCCATCCTTTCTTTCAAAGTGTCCCAGGCCAGCAAGCTCCTGGCTGAGCTTCTCTCTCCTGCTTCTTCCCCCACAGCTAGAGAAGAAGGCCAAGGGACTAAAGCTGTAGGCCCCTCCCTCTGCCCGGGTGTAATGTCCATGTGAAACCAGGGATTGTGTGCTATGTGGCAGCTTGGGGAAAGAGTCCCAGAGGGTGAATTTCCAAATACACTATAAGAAGTGGAGCTAACAGAACAGAAGGGTTAGGAGTGTGAGTCCCACTATCCAGATTGTTACAACAAAGGCTTTGAGATATGTGTGGTGGACCCAAATATCAAGCATGCTTTCTTTAGGGTAAGTTCGATTTTCATCCTCTTTGGGCTCCATGGGAGGGGGAAAGCAATCTGGGACCTAGAGAGCAAGCTTCAAGGGACTCTTTGATCTTTCTCCCTGTGAAGGGCAGTAACCAGTAACTAACTAGGACCTCAGAGCTGACAAGGAGTTTTGGTGAAGGCAGCTGTTGTATGGCAGGATTTGCACAGTCCTCCTGACACCTAGAACCAGGCTTTAGTAAGCTGTTCTCCCTGTGTGTGTGTGTGTGTGTGTGTGTGTGTGTGTGTGTGTGTGTCTGTCATTACCACAAGCCAATGTCTCTCCAGAGGAGGCACCCAGTTTTGTCAATGTTCTGATCTGCCCTGCTCATATTAAGCCCATTCACCTGACCCCATGTTGTTAACAATAGCCTGGAGCTGAGAGTCCGACACACATTCATAGGGAGTGGATCACAGTGGAGAAAGGGCGGAGGCCGGGCTCAGGAAGGAGGTGAAGCAGTAACCCTGACCACAATCAGAGTGGGAAGCCCAGGGGTCACAGGCCTGCCCTCCAATCTCCCACAAACAAGTGCACAAGTCTTACTCATCATTTCTACTTAGTCCCTGTGGTCTCTCTTTATTCACAGCGGGATTCTGGAGGGCCTCTCCTGTGTAACAGCGTGCTTGCAGGCATCGTCCCCTATGAGAATAAAGATGGTTATGCACCAGGAGTCTTCACCAGTGTACAAAAGGGTTGGGGAAACTGGGAGGATCTAGATGTATGAATATATAATAATTTTTCTATTAATTTAAAGTGCTAAGTATACTAACAGAAAAATTAAAACCAAAATATTTCCTTTCATCTTAGAAATTCACTGAGACCGCAGCTCTGTTCCTCAAGACAGTCGTGTCCAACAAGCCCACTGTTTCTCAAAAGCTATGTCCAATAGCCCGCAAAGGTCATGTTGTCCTCATTCATTCACTATTTTTGTTTGTTTTTTTCTTTTTTTTTCTGAGACAGAGTTTCTCTGTGTAGCTTTGAGTGTCCTAGAACCCACTCTGTAGTCTAGTCTGGCCCTGAACTCACAGAGATATGTCTGTCTCCAGAGTACAGGGATTAAAGTGGTGTACTACAACTGATCTCCTTACTTTTAGGATGAAAGCACACTAAAAGAAATCCTATTGTTTAGAGGTGTTCAATTTCTTTATTACATATCACTAAATTGGAGCTTGATCCATGGTTTTTAAAGATTCCCTCCAAATGGGCACCATATAATTAAGATCATTGTATTCTAAGGATTTTGTTGCTTAACTTTATGTGCATATATTGTATCATTTATATATGGTTTCTTTTCAGAGAGGAATTATCATTCTTCATTATGGCTTATATAGTAATGTGCAGCCCCAAACAGTTATTCCTTCACTGTGGCCAAGAAATGCCAAATGGTTACAACCAATAAACAGGATGATTAATTATGATACAATTAATATCAGGACTGCAATTCACAGCAATGATATGAAAGCTTCTATGGAAACAAAATATGAAAGGAGAAAATTTAAAAATATCTGAAAACCCTTAAGCTGTGGGAGTTAAGCAGGACCTTGGTTGCTCTGTGGTTATCTGCATGTACATGCTTACACACACACACACACACACACACACACACACACACACACACACACACACCCTTGTTCTTAAGCCAAGAGCATCCTGTCTCACCTCTCAGAGTTGATCTCACAGAGCTCTAACAGCCTTGTGCTCTCAACTCAGATCCTCAGTCCACTCCTGTCAATATCAGCCTTTTCAAGGCTGGAACCCTGTTTGTCCTACTTCTGAATCTAGTCCTCTAAATAGACATTCAGGATCTTACCAAGGTCCTTGTTTATATACAATAAATCCTAGGCAATATTGTAGAAAGTACCACGACAGTACTCCCTCAGCAGGGAATTCAGTTATGACCTTAACTTATTAAACTTTAAATTCAGTCCTGAATCTCTGGTTTAGAGATAAATGCCAATACATAATAAACAAGTAACCGATGCATGTCATTTGTGATTCGTTATTGTGCTTAACTATATATGACGATAAGACATGATCGTTGGGCACAGGGAAAACATTGAGATTTCCATGTGACACCCTAGCAGTTTAAGAGAGTCAGAGTGAGTTAAGATTAAATCATCAAATGACTCCAACAGATGATTCCTCAGTATGATCAGAAGTCTGAGAGGTTAATCAGAAGATGTACTGAAACTCCACCTAGCCAAATATGGCTCTTCCTAACTCTCACTAAATACTGTATAACTTTGTCTGTGTATTTGTAGTGCTATAACTGTTGAGTGGTAAATTGATTGTCTGTATTATTTAAAATAGAAAGAAAGAAACCAAAAAAGAACTTACCAGAATACAAAAGAATGTAAGAGGTAAAAAGACACACTTTGGCTCAGTGCAGTTACTGTAGGTTTCCTGTGGTCTCAGGAACCCAACCACAGCCTCCACACCCTCTGCTCTCTTGGTTTTTTATCCCAGCTTAGCTCATGTCAGTGCAGTGATACTGACATTTTACCCAAACCTGACAATGTCCTTAAGGACTGTAGCCAATCAGAGAAGAGGTGCACAGGTTTAAAAGGCCTGTGAGCTCACTGAGCGCTCACCTCCTTCATCCTTCAAGGGCTGTGTCCACTCTGCCCTCCTCCAACCTGAGCAGCCTACTAAGAAGATGGCAGCAGTCTTGATTCTCCTGACCTTTCTTCTGCCACTTGGAGCTGGTGCAGGTGAGTGAACACCCCTGTCCCAGAGGTTCCATCCCATAATACCTCTGTGGAGTCTCTGCCCAGCTCTAGTCAGGAACTTCCTGCACTGAACCAGGAGCTTTCTGAACCTCAGGTCACAGACCAACTCAGACCTGGTAGGCTGTCACTTGCTAGATCGTCAACAAGGTCTGGAGAGGGGCAGTGTCCTCAGAGGACACGGTGAGTGCTGGCTTCTCCCTGCTCTTTGTTTCACCTGGGGAGTGGATCATCTCATAAAAGAAAAGTAGCAGAGAACGAAATAAAACTAAAAGGTACATCATTAAACTTAGCTCAGCCCAGACCAAGGACAGCTTTAATGACCACTCTGCCATGGAGCATACCACCAGCTCAAGAATATTAGCATTATTTAGTAACCTCTACCCTCAGGTTGTTGAAGAAAGAGGCACAGGGTGACAAGATGCCAGCATTTCACACTCCACTAGCTTTAAAGTCCAGTTTTGGTTGGCTTCTCCACTTCTTTCTTCAGGTCAACAACTATTCCCTTTATGCCAGCACACTCCTCCACTGTCCCCTAGGCTCTGGATCCCATGAGCTCTGAACCACCAGTCCTCTAGCTAAGTAGAAATCATTCTTCCATGCAGGCTAAGCATTTCCTGGGAACCTAGGATATGATGGGAACAAGAATAGGAAAACTTTAGAAAATCCCTCTCTAAAGAGCTTGGAATATAAGGTGACAAACTGGCAGAAATCAAGACATGAGAGGTCCCCAGAGACTCACTAATAGTGAAGGACTAACATGAGCCACCCAGCATCCCCTTGGTCTCTAGCATCATGAGGAAAGAAGTTTGTCCCTCCATGTATTTGTAAAGCAGGGGCTGGAGGACAATCCTACCACCCCTTCTCAGAACAGGACACTGAGGCTTCAGACTCAGCAAAGATCAATCTACGTGCAAGGAATTCTGTCGACAGCAGTCTTGGGGAACTGTAGATCTCACTCTATCGCCCCTCCCTAGATCTTCCCTCCTACTTCATCTGCTATTCCCAGACACCTCATATTCTAGTCTTCTTTCAGAGGAGATCATCGGGGGCCATGAGGTCAAGCCCCACTCTCGCCCCTACATGGCATTTATTGAATTTATGAATGATGATGGCAGCATTTGTACCTGCGGAGGCTTCCTGGTGCGAGACAACTTCGTGCTGACAGCTGCTCACTGCATGGGAAGGTGAGGAGGAGCTGCTGGCCTATGTTTTCTGAGACCCCAACAAGAGTTTTCATCCTCTACTCATGGATTCTCTTCTGAGAGCTTACTAGAGGGCAGGGCTGTGACAATGGAAGTCTGTCATTAGGGAAACTTTTAGGTTAAAGGGTGAGGGGTCAGAGGCAGCAGCACAGTTGAGTTGAAAGCAACTACACTGGTCAGACTACAGCAGTGGCTGAGGTTGAAAGTGCACATTCAGAGTCAATGCAAACTTTGGAGTATTGCCTGAAAACAAGAGCAAGTTCCCAGAAGTCTAGTGTTCTTGTAAAGGAAGAGCAGTGGTTCACACCCTGAGGCCCTTCTGTCTCCTCGTCCTCTCAGCTAGAGCCCCACCCTGCCCACACAGCCTCTTACAGCTCCTGCACTGTGTCCTCTCTCACTCCACATCTCTCATCTGCACTCTGCACAGCACAATGAACGTCACTCTAGGAGCCCACAATATAACGTTCAAAGAGAAGACCCAGCAGATCATCCCTGTGGCTAAGGCCATCCCACACCCAGGCTATAATAACAAAACTTACCGAAATGACATCATGCTCTTAAAGGTGAGAAGGGCCCCCATCCTGTCCAGGGATTGCTCCTCCTGCTCTCACCGTGCTCCTTTCTGTCTTCTATCCTGTTGTCTCAGCCCAGCAGTCATGAGCCACACTCTTCCTTTTTCCCGCAGCTGGAGAGGAAGGCCAAGAGGACTAAAGCTGTAAAGACTCTCAGGCTGCCCAGGAGTAATGTCCACGTGAAGCCAGGGGATGTGTGCCATGTGGCTGGTTGGGGACAGTTGGCTCCAAATGGTAAACTCTCAGATACGTTGCAAGAGGTAGAGCTGAGAGTCCAGAAGGATCAGGAGTGTGAATACCACTTTCGTCGTCGTTACAACAAAGCTACTGCGATCTGTGTGGGGGACCCAAAGATCAAGCGAGCTTCCTTTCTTGTAAGTTGCATTGTCCTCTCTGGGTTACATGGGGGAAAAAAAGCAATCTGAAACCTGGGGACCAAAATCAAGGGACTCTTTTCCCCATTGGCCATTATCTTATTCCTTGGGAACACCAGTCACAGTAACTAACTCGAGCCTCAGAGCTGACAAGGAGCCTTGGTGAAGGCAGCTGGTACAAAGCAGGATTTGCACAGCCCTCCTGACTCCCAGGCCCAGGCTTTAGAAAGCAGAGCTCCATCTGTGTGTCATCATCATAAGCAGGGGTCTCCTCAGAGCAGGCACCCACATTTGTCAATGGACTGGTCCTCCATGCTCACATCAGGCTCATTCACCTGTCCCCATGTTCTTAAACAATGGCCTGGAGCTGAGGGTGTGACACACACCTTCATAGGGAGTGGATCACAGTGGAGAAAGGGCAGAGGCCAGGCTCAGGAGGGAGGTGAAGCCCTAACCCTGTCCACAATCAGAATGGGAACCCCTAGGACCCCAGGCCTGCCCTCCATTTCTCTCTACACACTATTCATACACCTTGGAGCGGAGCCTTGACATGAGAGGGAGGCTGGGACTAGGCTGACCAACAACTCAGTCCTTTGTGACCCTTCTCCATTCACAGGGGGATTCTGGAGGGCCTCTTGTGTATAAAAACAGAGCTGCAGGCATTGTGTCCTTGGCCTGTAAGAATGGTTCAGCACCAGGAACGTTCACCAGAGTGTCAAGTTTCCTATCTTGGATACAGAAAATGATAACTACAGAGAAAACCAGGCCCCTCCCTGACTCACCATCTTCCCTACAGCTGAGTCCAGGATTGTCCTAGGACAGAAGCCACCAAATCAATAAACGTCACTTTGCAGCATTGAAAGGCTGGCTTCCTGCTCATTCACAGGGACCAACTCTTTACTTAGCAGATCAGTGTCCTACTTTTCTTCTCTACTCACTCCAACAGCATACACATCCTCACTCCAAATGTCAGGCATGGCCATTACACACCTTGTTTGTACTAGTCTCACTTTGCAGTCCCGGTTCTTCTGACAGGCCCCTGTGCTTGGGTGTCTCTTTTCATGGTGCTCCGGGTGAACATTTGTACTCCTCTGTGTCATATGGAAGAAAGGAGAGGAAAAGCTCCATTGGTCCTGGAGATATGAAGACAGAGTTGAGGTCACTGTAGACGGTCCTTCCCGGATAGGTTATATCTGTCCCACGGCTTTATCATTAAAGTGACAGCAATTTCAGAAAGGTCTGTTTTACATCTAGAATTTATTTTGGTATCCTCTTCTGGAAACAGGGCCAAGTTTCCTCCAGCCCCTTCTTTTTTTTGCCACCTCCTATGAGTTATCAGCTTCTATGCTTTAAAGTCCAAGCTAATCTGAACCTGTCCCTACTTCTTATCCCCCTTCCTAGGACACCCAGATCCATTTGTGATCCAATTCATTAGAGTCTCACACCTGTGGCATCAGCTTAAATGATGACCCGACAGGGAGGGGGCTCACAAATATCCAGACCAGAAATGTCATCAAAGAGGTTGCATGCAGGCCAGGGCTCTCAAAGCCTGTCCAACACCTTTTACCCCACCTCCCACATGGTCAAATCTAGGGAAGCTCTTCACAGTCAGCTCAGTCACACCCCCAACCTCCCCATGTGCTCAGCATCCATAGCAGCAGGGTCTCTCAGCAGCATGAGCTCCTCCGAGCTTGGTCATCTCAATCATTGCCAGCTTTTAGGCTAGAGTGCCCTGCTGTCGTTTGGTTGATGTCAGTCTTTGACATCCCCAAAGCAAAAGAACGAAAACCTCTACTTTTCCATCAGTCAACACTGAAGTGTATGAGGTTTGCAAATGGCCTTAGGCAGTTAGCTTCTATGGGAAATTATTCAGAAAATCGGCATTCCACCCCACCAGGAGTTGGCAGTAACTAGAGAATAACCCAAATAAGACAGCCTCTTTGTATTTATTTGCAAGGTAGCAGATTACAGAATCAGTATGCAGATTTAAATCCTATGAGATGCACCTATACAGAAACATAATTCAGAAATAGAACAAAATATGAATCAGGAGGCCGTGAAATAAAGAGAAACGAAAAAATGGTGTAGAGAAGTTCCTGTGATGTTTCGACATTCTTGGTTACTGCTGCATCCATAGTTCCTAAGTCTACCTGGGCTTCTCATTGTTAGGAAGTCTTGGCATGAGACTGTAGCAAGAATGTGTGGCTCTTTCTTTAATAAAACTATCCCTATCTTGGACTCACATAGTTTAAAAAAAAAAAACGAAGCTTCTAGTCAGGAATGCTCTTGCCTTAATCCAGCACTGGGGAGGCAGAGATAGGGAGATGGCTGACTCCAAGGCTATAAGAGAGAGACTCTGTCTCAAACAAACAAATAAGAATTCTTAAATTACCTGAAGTATTCATAAAATTCCAAGCATCCCTGGCTCAGGGTCCTGTGCTGTCAGACATTTAACAGATAACATGAGTGGCAGATACTGCTCAATGCCTGCTCATCCCAAACAGACAGAGCATCACATTCTTCTGGGAGATGGAAGAAAATCTCCATTTGTATCAGGTAACTTTCAAACTCAAGCTTTTATTTAGTAAGAAATGTAGGTGGCACACATCTTCTGACAGAGAACAGGAAAATAAACCCTGCACAAGAGACAGACTAAGGACCCAGCTCCTTTGGAGACAACAAATACAAAGCAGAGTGCAGAATCAAAGAAAAATGCATGTGAAAAATTGCATGGTCACATGCGCATTCAGCTTAGACGTCCCATTTACATTGAGGAGAAGGTTCTATGGCTTAAAATAATGTTGAATACCATTATTGTTTATGTTTTAGAGTGGAGATAAAATAGTTTTCTACCAAAAGGTAGTAACTAACCCGAGGAACAGCATCAAAGATGTTGGGATGGAGGCTGAATTGAGCCTAGGATTCCTTGAGCCAATGATATCTAATCTGTGGTCAGTCACTTTCTGATATTCTACACAAAAGATGAGCCCATGCTTAGACTCCCTCTGGAGAGAAACTCCTGGGCTCCTCCCACTACTGCATGGTGAAGGTGTCAAAGCCACAATGCTTTCTTTGCTCCCCTGAGTACACATTAGAGTGGATTCAGAGGCTGTAAATGTCGTAAATACAAACTGCTTCAGATTCCTCTAGTCTGTGGATGTGTCTCCCAGTTCTCACCATTTGCTTGGAGTTTATTCAGCTCCCCTAACATCTGTACTGATGTTCTACACCTGGGAAAGAAAATGCTTCAACTCATCAAGACCCAACTTCTCTGCTCCCCCAGGCCATTGCAATCCAGCAAGCCAGAGAGCCTAAGACTCCCCTGAAGGACACAGAACAGACACAAGGACACCGGTCTTCTCAATTGTGCTGGGGAACACATACCATTATACCTGCATTGTTCTTTCCAATGTCATACTTCTGCAAGCACCATTTTCTGTGGACTTAGATAATATAGAGTTTCTGTTTCATATTTGTGCCCCATGCCACCTTCCTTTGGTCGTTTTTAGTGACTATGTCCCTGTTAGGCTCATGTATTTGAGCACCTGGTTCCCAGTTGATGCTGCTGCTTGGGGACATTAGAAAATATGGCACTGGTTTAGCAATTCCGTTTTTGTGGCAGGCTTTGACTCACACCATTACCAGTTCTCTCTCTCTCTACTATGGTTCTCACTCACTCTCTGTCTCTGTCTCTATCTCTGTCTCTCTCTCTCTGTGTTTGCACATGCATGTGTTTATTGTGTGTAAGTGTATTGTATGGTTCTTGAGAATGCTGTTCTTATCCTGTGTTAATATCAATATTTGTGTGCTCTTCAAGTTGTTAACCATGCCTGACTGCAGTGTGATGCTGCCAGTGTTTTATCTTCCAAGTAAGGACAGTCAAACTGGCACCATCATATTTTCATGGAGACGTAGCAAACCAACAGAGGTTATCAGTGATATTTTAATCTACGTTACCAAATGGGTTTTTAATGGTATTTGGAAAACTAGTAAGAATTTCTTTTTGATTATTAAGAACACACACACCAGAACCTTGCCACACACACCACAACCCAGCTACCATTCTTATAATAGGCTCTCACTCTGCACTGCATCCGCAGCTGAGATGCTGAAACACTCAGATCTTGCTTTCTATTTTCTTTTCAATTTTCATAGTAGAAATAATTATAGTTCCTTATCTCTTATTCTTTCTGATTGCAGTATTGCTTCTATACCATGATAGAATATAATACAACTCAAAAAAGAGAGAAGATCTTTCAAGTGAAAGGGAGCATGCGGGTACTTTTTGTCAGGTAAATACAAGAGTCTGTTAAAACTTTCAGAATTTGCAAGTGTTCATAAAAGTAATAACAGAGAAGGAATTTCATGCAAACCGTGCTACCTGACATAGTAGCTGTCAAGGATGGCAACACAGGACAAAGCATTGGAACTGAGAAGGGACATCTTCTCAGTAACAGCAAACACTTAAAGTTTTATTTTAGGATGATGAGGATATGGTTCAGTGGGTAAGAGCACTATCTGAACAAGGTGGAGAATCTGAGTTCAGATCCCAGCACCAGCATAAAAGATGCTGATTAGGGCTGATGTGCCTGTATCCTCAGTGCAGACACAGGAAGACTGCTGATGCTTGCTGCTAGCAGCCTCAACAAAACAGTCTGTTCCAGGTTCAGGGAGAGAAGCCATCTCAAATGACTAAGATAGAAAACAGTAGAGGATCCTGACATCTTTCTCTGTACTCATACAAGCACGGGACACATACTCTGATATACATGTGTACACACAAGCACCACACATTTAAAGAGATAGTCACACCTGTTTCTCGTTATGTTCTGTTACTCTGATAAAAAACACTTCCCCCCCTGCCGGGCGGTGGTGGCAAACACCTTTAATCCCAGCACTCAGGTGGCAGAGGCTGGTGGATCTCTGTGAGTTTGAGGCCAGCATGGTCTATAAGAGATAGTTCCAGGACAGGAACCAAAAGCTGTCTCGAAAATCCAACAAACAAACAAACAAAACAAAAACAAAAACACTGCCCCAAAGTGCTTGGCCAGGAAAGGGTTGATTTGGCTCCCATGTCCCACCTGCACTCCATCACTGATGGAAGTCAGAGCAGGCAGGCTTTCAAGCAGGAGCAGAGTCAGGAACCTCAGAGGAAAGTTGCCTGCTGGTTCAGCTTGCTTTCTTACACAACCCAGGACCTCATGACTGTGGATGGACTACCCACAGTGGGCTATTCCCAGTTCCATCCATTAGCAACCAGAAAGAACCCACGCAAACATGCCCACAGTCAATCTAATGGACACAATTCCCAATTGAGGACTCTTCTTCCGGTGTTTCCAGTTTATGTCAATTTGACAGAAAGTACCCAGCACAGCTGGTTAGATAGGCTCTGTGGTAAAAAAACTAGACATGTGGTTATGTGGTTATATTTAATATAATAAAACAAAACAAACCATGCAAACCATTTTGTGTTAGTGACTCCACTGAGAGGTGTACAAATAGTGTTCCAATTCTGATATGCCCTAAGGAGTGAGGAATAATAAACTCATTGGGTTTCACCAGACTACAACCAATAGAACAGAACAGACTGAGAAAAAAATTCTACCAAAGAACTTTGAGACCAGAATTACTCATGTTAAATCTTATTCTCTTGGGATGGATTGCAGTGCTGATGCTAAGAGTAGCCCAACCTGATATTTTGGTTCCAGATAGTAGTAAGGGAGCTAAAGTCATCGAAGAAATAACACCATTGAAAGAAACTAATAAATATTTTTTTTTGTATGGGGCAGTGGAAATTATATCGAAGTTGTTTTCTTTGTCCATTATCAACCTAACTAGTACAGCTTCT